CAACTCGGTTAAAACGCTCATAATTGTCGGTCGTTCTGTGAAACGTTAAATATTGTTACAGAAATAATATTATTTGTAAAAAAAAGGAATCGGAAATTACATGTCATAAAAAGAATCGTTTTACGGATTCGACCGACAGAACGTTTGGGTTGATAACAACAGACATATATAAAAACTAGTGGTTCACCAATAAGTTTATTATCTAATTAACTGGATAACATAAAAACGAATTTAATTGATACTTAAATTGGTTGTAATTTACGATTATTTTTTTCTATCGAGTTGATATTGGACTACATAGTAATTTTCTTCTTAAGGTCTTTTGTGTGTTATCTTAGATGAAGATATTAATACATTCAAAGAAACTGTGTTGTTAACGATTTGTTATCTTCCCACGTATCTACATAATATTGTGAATAAATAGGAATCATTTTTAACAGTCTGTTTATCTTATGTCGTTGTTATGTTTTCCAGAACTTGTACGAGTTTGTCGATGAAACCATTTATACTAAAAAAATATACCGTACGGCATACAGCTATGGGTTTATCACTTGTGTTTTTGTTTTTCCTTAAGCCTAGTGCTTCTAAAAATTTATCGGAAACAAAAGCCATTCGCGAAGACGCACTACGTTGGTGGCAAAACCTCCTTTTTTTCGTACGCTCAATGTATTTTTCAGAATCATCACACGCTAATTTAAACATCGTGGTGTCTGCTCGTGACACGTTTCATTGTATTTGTCTACAAATAGCAAATTCGTTTTAAATGACATTGCAAAATTGTCCATATAATAATAAATTCGCAATTCGATTCGTCTAATAATTTGTACAAAGTAATAATTTTTTTACTCAAAATCTATGAATAATTCATTTTTGTGTAAAACTTTATATTTTATTGATACGATGAGTTTTTTATTGTGCCAACTCGCCATGAATTATAAAAACTGTCGTCCATGACTCGCCGTTCAAATTATACTTCATTTATTAGAATATTATTAAAAACTTGTTATGATGAGTCTTAGACCAACGCAATGTATCTAGTCGTACAAGTAATTACTAGTATCGTAGAATTTAACTGCTGTTGGTTTTTTTATTTCACGTAATTTTTAATAAAACCGAACAAATCACTCGAAATAGATCTCGCGAACAATTTAATCCGTTTAAAAATTCAATAATGAGTTTCTTATATTTAAAAAAAACAGATTTTTGTAAAAAAAAATGCAAGACAATTTATAATTATTCGTTTTGTCAAATTGATGTTTTTATTAAAAATACTTCACAACGTTCTGTGGTTTTTTCGCACCGCGGCCTTGACGCAGACAATATTTAAACCCGTTTACACGTGAGCGTATCTTTTTTGAACAAAAAAAAAATATCACCATAAAAATAACGTTGGCCACCGCTGCGAAATGTCAATTGAACGAGTGTGGGTCGTTTGCACTCGGCGAAACGTTGACGAGCTTACCGATGACGTATAGTCAACACGTTTTTATTAAAACCTTTTTTATATATTTTTCAAATACTCGCCAGCCGCAGAAGAAGTAATCCGGAGTACCATCAACACTGATTATTACTGTTGTTATTATCATTATTGTTACTGAATTGCTGCTGTTGTCGAGCTGCGTCATGATGACCGAAAAACGGGTTTGCCTTTCGGAGGACAAGCGACGGCTTGTTCGCAAAGAGAAACTCTTTGGGATCACAAATTGTTGGCATCGTAAAAAATCGCCTCGAGCTTAGGTACCTTCTTCCTCCGGTGTCACTTTTGAGAAGTCTCTGACCAACAAAACGATGCTATTCTTCGATTACAATACTTTTAGCGTGTTTGAAATTTTTTTACTAAAAAAATTACCCGTATAATGTGGATTGTATCCGCAATGAATTGCTTATTAATTAATTCGTATGCAATTAATAAACGCACGCAGTGTATAATTGCATACAAATTAAATTTTTTTTTTTTTATGGGTCTTTCGAAAAATGTAAACGCAAAATTTTGCTGATAAATCACTTGACAAGTATTATGTCTGTTAAACGGTTTCGATAGAATGAGATATTAGGTTTCATTATTGAAAAAAACTAGTTAAATAATTATACTTCATTATTTTTACAGCCATCATTTCCATTCACGTTCTCTTTTAATTCATGCGACTAATAGTTTTTCCAAGTGTCGATTTAGATATCATATTACACCGGTCAAATGACTGAGGTGGTGGTACATTATGTCTTGTATTATTCGATTAAATCGATCCAAGGAGTCATAAACAAGTTGTGGACTAAAATAACACGGAACTATTGATTATTCACAACATTAAAACGGAGCAATAAAATGACCGGACTTGGTAAATTTGAGTAATTTTATGTTTTGTCACAACACACGTCGGTGTCGTTTAATTGTTTTATGATAAACATTCAAATCTGGTTTTTTTTTATTTAATAACATACCGCCAGATCGAAGTTAAGAAATTTATGTGATACGGCTAAGGATCAATAACGACTTTTGACGAAACTATTCCTACCGATTCTTTATCGATTGTCTCTCATCTCGCCGATCAGTCAGCAGGTTGCTTACCCTATTTTTCGGCCAAGACCTATTGGATGGCTGTCAGTTCGAAGGATTAAAACGTTCAATATGATGAGTAAAACAAACTCATGGTGGTGATAACAGTTCAATAATCACACAATAAACGATAACGTTAAACGCCTGAAACGGACGCCCAAACACATTTGCACTGTTACACAATTGATTATTTTCTCAATGGAAATTGAAAATTTTAATATAATACATTGCACTAATAAATACTAAGATGGATTTAATATAATAATACAAATAAAAAACAACTTTATTTATTAACTAAACGAGGTTTATTTTTTTATTATTATATTTGACGTAAATTAAAAATTATCATGAAAAAATTAAAATAATAAAACAAACTGTCTAATTAATATAAATATTTATGCGCTATCGTAATATGTTATTAGTGATTAAATATCGTTAATATTGACAATACTTTAGATTTGTTGAGACGAGATATTATACAATAGGTACATCATTTTAATTCGTTATTGTGTCAAATGGAATTAAATAACTACTAGTCCTCGTGATATTGTTTTAGTACAAAAAATCAGAAATCATGAAGTTCGGTTTGCACATGCATTACGATTTTTTCGAGGGTTCCTAATAGTTTATCTCGTGACTTGATTTCGGGTTGAAAAAGATCCAATATGAAATCATTATTTTCATTGCATAGGCTACTAAAAAATTCTAAATTCATAAGACGATCCACTGTATCAAAATTGGACCAGTTCGGTGGTTTGACAATATGATTGAAAAGAGTTACTACTATTGTTTGTAACCGTTTCAAAAATTTCTGTGGGTACTTGTAACTTAAATTATCCCTTAAAAATACTAATTGCTCTCTTTGTAGAAAACCTGTTATTCTCTCCAAGACGGCGTCGATAGTCGTTTTCATCAGACTGTAAATTGTGTCATTCATAGAACCATCTTCTGTCAAATACACTATGTGGACACTGTACATAGCTACGAGTAATATGTACTTGTTCGTACGACCTCTGCGAGCCATCGGGTAAGCAATGTTCCTTAAAAAGTTATATCTACGTTTGTGATCCAAAGCAATTGTTTCAATGAAAAATTCTCCAAATTTCATGACAATTCCATAATAAAAACGTATGTATTCATTTTTCACAATTTCATATTTTCTGAGCGTTTCATCGTCAAATTTCTTAGCGGCCGTTAACTTAACAAGTATGGTAATTGTTACTATTGTGAATAAAAACGCTGTTTGCTTATTCATTAAAAAGATTATTTTCTTTTATCGAATTTTAGAAAATTATAAGACACGTTGTGAACGCAAAATACTTTTCCGTAATGGTATTACACTTTTAACAGCCGTTTATTAACAAAATTATTTATCATTGCGTTGTTTAATTTAAGCAATTTTTGGACAAATGTTTCATTATTGTCAAATAAAACTATTTTTACAACAGTCAATTACGCAGTAAGATAAAATTAAAAAAATAAAATATGTAGAAATTGCTATTTTAAACGTTATTATTACTTATGCTATCAATCATATGTATTTTACATTATGTATTCAGGGTTTTTTTATAATTTAAAAAAAATAAAATCTATATGAATTAAATCATTATTTGAAAAGACTTAAAAATTATTTAATGTAGAATTTGCTTGTGGATTATATTAACTGATTTTTTAAACTTTGGTGCACAAGCGAGAAGGTACTAATTTTATGATTTCGTGTTTGGTTTATTTATATTATTTTTTTGTGTCTGTCATTATTTTTTCTTTGCTCTCACTGTACCGACTTTTTTCAACAAAGATTCCGAATACATTACCTTCAAAATGTGAAAAATTTTCCCTTGTTCGATTTGTAAAATCGTAATATTCCGAAATTTTAAATAAATTAAATTAAAGCTTATATAGTTAAAAATATATACATTTTTTCGGATTTTCTTCTATATGTAAACGGCCACCGAAGACAGTTGAAAAATATTATTTTAGTATAAAAAAACACAATGTTTGGTGTTTTTTCTATTCAATTTTTTTTCAAATATAACAGTAATCAAAAATATTTAATGGTTAATGTCTTTATAGATAATTTATGAAGCTTTAAATTGCAATCCAATACTATATTAAAAGGAAGGATCGGTACTTACCAAAAAAATATAAATGTTGTTCATTATATTTAACCAACAAATAATAATGTAATTTTGAAAATTAACCTTCAATTCTTTTTTTTCGATAAATCCGCGTCTACTTTTTTGCCGTATAAATAACGAAATATACAAAAAGTTTATAATTGCTATACAAATTAAATTACAATATAAAATATTGAACACAAATTTCATACTAAATTTAATTTCTATAATGTGTATTGTATTTATAAATCATAAAACTAGTAATCTGAATATAATTGAGGATATAGGAGTTGGTGTTTTTTTTAATTATCCAATAATTTCTTCAAAAGTTAAACACTACTTACAGATTTGTATGGAACCGTTTTTATTATACCGATATCAGCTATACTTGTCACAACTATGACACATCCCCACTGTGTTGGGCGGCTTTCTTTTCATTTCAGAACTTTCATAGAAAACATTTAAATTCCTAAACAATTAAAAAAAACCATTTTTTTTTTTGCATCAAAAAGCACAGAATTATCTTCAGACAAGCATAACGTTTGTAAAAATATAATAATACAAGTACAATTCGGTCTACCTTTACGAACCGTCAGAAATACATAAAATCTTAGAAATTAAACAAACATAATAGCGTCTTCTGGAACCGTAACATTTTCCATGTATTCTCTAAATTTTATTAAATCTATAGAGTAATATTTAATATATTATATTATAATATTTTTATTGAATAATTAAAATTTAATTGGTCATATTATAAATATTTTTCTTTCGCCAAATATCAGATGACCGAAAAGTGCTCGTAAAGCAATTGATTAATGCCTTACTATTATTAACTATTGCTTATAAAACTTCTGTTCACTAATTTATGTGTTATAGTAATTTATTTCCAAAACTATAATAAATAAGTACGTAAAAAATTTTTTTTTTTAATTTTACATTAGTTGAAAATTCAATAGTGCGTTACATAGAAAATAATTAATGTGTATAATTATGAATTGATTGTAACGTGCGTTATTAATTATTAGTAGTAGTATTGGCAAAAATGTAGATTTATAGACAATATATATAAATAAAGGTAATCGTTTTAATTCGTTAATTTATCAAATGGTATTAAAGAACTACCTAGGCCACGCGATAATGTTTCAGTATACATATTTTATATACACAAAAAATCGTTAAATATGATATAATAAATATTTATAAATAATTAGTAAACAAAAGTCGTACGATTTTTTCAAGGGTTTCTAATAGTTCATCTCGTGACTTGATATCTGATTTTAATATATCCACAACGAAATCGTTTTGTTTAACGCATAGGGTACCAAAAAATTCCAAAGTCATAAGACGATCTGTTGTATCGAATTTGGACCAGTTAGGCGGTTTATTCATATTATTCCAAAGAATGTCCGATATTGTGTTCAACCGTTTTATAAATTTCCGAGGATAATCTCTACTTAAATTGTCCCTGAAAAATTGTATCTGATGTATATATGCTCTGCCTTTTATTCTCTCCAAGATTGTGTCCAGAACCGTTACCATAAGATAGTAAATGTGATCATTCAACGAACCATCTCCCGTCAAATATATTATTTCGAGACTGTACATGGTTACGAGTAATATGTACTTTTGAGTTCGACCTCTGCGAGCCATCGGGTAAGCTTCACGTACTAAGAATGTAATTCTGTCTTTGTCGTTCAAAGCAATCGTTTCTTCCCGAAATTTTCCAAATTTACACACTTCGTCTTGGTAACGTATGTATTCATTCATTACCAAATTATATTTCATTCCAGGCGTTTCCTTGTCAAATGCATCTGTAGCTTTTGACTCACAAAACATTGTAATTGTTGTGATTGCAAATAAAAACCCTCGTTTCTTGTTCATTATAACAAAGTTATTTTATTAAATACAAATTTAGAAAATCATACGGTACGTTGTGAACTTATAAGATATATTTTGTAAAGGTTTTACTTTTTAACAGCTTTTTAATCCTATTGCTTTAATGACGAATGTTTTATTTAATAAATTTTAGGGCAAATTTTCATTTATCAGAAAAAATTAAAATATATTTGCGCTATATTTTTTTTAAAAATATATTTTTAAACACATTTATAAAACATGTTAAAATTAATTTTAACGTCATTATTTACTTGTACTATAAAGCATTTTGTCTACACCTTTTATTTTTCAATTTTTAAAAAAAATTTCAATGAAACTTGAATCATTACATGCAAACATATTACATTACTAACTGTAATATTTTTTGTAGATTATTTTAACTATTTTTTTTAACTTTTGGTAGAAATCTGAAAAAGTATTAATTTTATCACGATATGATTTTTTTTTTACCGACCCCAAGATTGGTTTACAACTCCAATCCTCCGGATACTCGGCTTTTCTTTGAGTTCCTTAAAGGCTTTGACTTTTGCATCACGTTAAATTTGTGCTATATAAGAGTTTCGGGGAGGTCCTACAGTTTTCTATCATACCCCCTAACATTATGTTATGCGTCTCTTCTAGGTGTCACGGGTCATGTCCAACCATTTTCCAACGTCTTGCTCTAATCGCATCTACGAACATGCGTTTTTCTCCCACAGCTCTAAGTACTTTTTCATTTGTTTTCCGCTCTACCCAACTTATCCTTTCCGTACGCCTCCAACACCACATCTCGAAGACTTCTGTTTTTTTTTTTTCAGTATCATTTATTACCCAAGGTTCACATCCGACGGGACGATCGTACCCCCTACTAAAATTATTTAAAATAAGAAAATTAATTGTATATTCTTAATTCCACATTTTTACTAAACATGAAGAATTTTTAAATACTAAAATAGTTATAATACATTTGTCGTGTGCGAACGTTAAAGTTTGCTTACACACACGAGCAGTGTTTGAACGACCGACACTGTCGGTAATTAAATTAGGGTAAATTATTTTTAGTATTAACTGCTTGTCGTTATCGGTTGCTATTATTATTTTAATTTATATTTTCTACTGCGACCTTTAAAATAATATGTGTTTTATTTTATTATATTTAATTTGACACATTTTTATACATATGACTAGCGGTATCATATTTAAATTCGTGTTCCCACCACGAGCTGCCACTGCTCCCCTTACATATGCTTTTATCTTAGGTCTCTTATTGATATCGAGATGTCACTTTTTTGAAGTGAGCAACTTATGTTTTATACCATTGGCAGTTTTTGCTAATGCTATGCGTTGTTTTAGCTCGCGGTCGCTCTTACCATCAGATGTGATTTTGCTCCTTAGGTTTACCATTTACTCTACTTGCTCCAGTTTTTGACTTTCTATGTATACATTAGCTTTCACTTTCGGATCTTTAACGCGGACTAAGATCTTCGTTTTTGTACAATTTATTTTCATTTCTCATGTTCTGAGCATTTCGTCCATTTCTTCAACTGCACGCTGTATGTCACCTTCACTCTCTGCTATTACCACTATGTCACCGGCAAATCGTATTATTGAAACAATTTCCCCACCAATATTTAGTCTTGTTAGCTTTTTCGATGTAACAGATAAAAAGTGATGGCCGTAACGTAAACCCTTACCGGACTTCTATGCGAATCTGAGAAGGTATTAATTATACTATGAAGTGTTTTTTTTGTGTCTGTAACCACATTACAGACACTAATAAACAAATAATAAACTTTATAAATCTGACCCTTTACCTGCCCACAGGGGAGGATTAAAAATGACATTTTTTTCAACTTAACTTTTAAAAGTGTTCCGGAAATACTGAAACTTTTATATTTATATTAAATTAAATGTTTATGTAATATACTTTAATATGAAAATTCTCAGCTTCGCATCGAAGCTAATATCGAAGACTTTATTTTGTTTTCGTGGTGAAAACGGACATTAAAGTTAATAAAAAAAATTATTTTTTATATTTCTAACTTTATAATGCTATAACTTTTTGAAAAGTGTATGGATCAATACAATTTTTATGATAAATACTATTTATATACCTCTTTCATTCGACATACTTTTTTTTTTTAATCGGGCCATTTTCCTTTATTCAGGGGTGGTTTTAATACTTAAAAATGCATATAGAATGTAGAACTTTTTCAACTTATTTTTATTTAAAATATATTTATTGATTAAACATACTTAACCTAATAATCAAATATAAATATTTTTCATATTACTTAGAAGGATTTTGTTATTATTTAGACCATATGCAAAACTTTAATTGCAGATTTGAAAATGGCGAAAAATGGGTATAGAATAGTATATTTTGGTCTCTGACGAATATTCCTTGTAGACCAGTAAATTTATTTTTAAACAACAAACAATTTTTTTTTTTTATGTATTGCATCATCACTAGTTTATAATTTTTTATAGTGTCTCCGTAAAAATTACAATACTAAATTATTAAATATCAATCCTATGCTATATTTAATTGCTATAAAAAATATTTATTCATATACTATAGTATATATAGTGTTACACTTATAAATCATAAAACTTGTAATCAGGATATAAATAGCGAAATAAGAGCATGTTGCTTTTGGAATAATTCATCAATTTTTTAAAATTAAACTTTCCTTCTATTCATCGATTTATTATTTTTGGTACATGTGTCAGTAGACTCAGTGTTCTAATCTGTTCACAAGAATTTGCTTCATATTTCATTGGTATAGTTACAATTATGATTTACAGGCACATCTCCTTTTTCATATATATCTCGAGTTAGTAGTATAAAGCGTCCTTTATCTTCGTACTAGCACATTGCAATAATTCTGCTGTTATATTATCAATTCCAGGCGCTTTATTTTATTTCCAGTCGATGATATGTTTAATTTATATATAGTTTTTCTTTGTGTCTATCATTATTTTTTCTTAGCTCGTGCTATATCGAATTCTTATAAAGATACGTCAAAAGANAAGCTACATTATCTGCTAGTTTCTTATTAATACCCTGATTAAGATAAAGTATGTCGAATGAAAAAGGGATTATTAAAAAATATTATTTCTCATAAAAAAATTTTGTTGATCCATACACTTTTCAATAAGTTATAGCATTATAAAGTTACAAATATAAAAAATAAAATCGAGAAATTTCACACAAAAATAGCATTTGGTAGCCGTTTTTTTAATATTACATTTGTTTTGAATTCAAAAGTCTGTTGCATAGAGAAATAATTAATAACATAGCTATCCACTGAATGTGCATAATTAAGAATTAAAGTAGCGTGCGTCATTTATAATTAATTATTAGTACTATTGTTAATTATTTAAGTTTCTACAGACAATACATCATAATAGGTATTCATTATAATTTTCTTGTGGAAATTAAAAAAAACAAATAATTCACGTGGTATTATATTAGTATTTACAAAAAATCGTTAAAATATTATATAATATATGTTTATAAATAATTACCAAACAATAGTTGTACGATTTTTTCAAGGGTTTCTAATAGTTCATCTCGTGACTTCATTTCTGGTTTAAAAAGATCCACTACGAAATCGTTTTTCTGAACACATAGGCTACCAAAAAATTCTAAATTCATAAGACGATCTGCTGTATCAAAGGAGGACCAGTTAGGCGGTTTAATAATATGACTCCAAAGAGTTTTTGACATTAATTGCAACCGTTTCACAAATTTCCTTGAGTACTTATCATTTAAATTATTCCTGAAGTATTTTATCTGCTCTCTATATTCAATTGCTTTTATTTTATTCAAGATTTTATCGAGAGCCGTAATCATAAGACCGTAAATTATATCATTTATTGAATCATCTTTCGTCAAATATAGTATTTGAATACTGTACATAGCTATAAGTATAATGTACTTGTTCATTCGTTGTTTACGAGCCTTCCAGTAAATTCTTCTTAAGAAATCATCTCTTTTTTGGTCGTTGTTGAAAGCAGTTGGATCGTCCCGAAATTCTCCAAATTTTCTTACATTTCCATGGGAATAAACGTATTCATTTTTCACCAATTCATATTTTTTAGCGAGTATATCATTGGGTAATTCATCATTAGCTTTAGACTTACAAAATATTGTAATTGTTATGATTGCAAATAAAAATCCTCTTTTATTATCCATTTAAAAAAATTATTTTCTTCTTTAATTCAATTTTATAAAACTATAGGAAATGTCTAATATATTTATGATATAGACTTATAGTAAAATGAACTTGTATTTTTTAAAAAATAAATTAATTTCTATAAATTTGTTTCTAATTTAAACGTCATTATTTACTTTTGTTATAAATTATACTTATTTATATATCATATATTTAGATTGTTTTAAATTTAAAATGAAATATCAAATAAATCAAATCAGGACTTGAAAGACTTTAAAATTAATTCTTGAAATAAATACAATTTCAGACTATTTCCAATAGCATTTTATTTTTGAATTCTTCTTAATCTGTAATTATTTTATTTCACAATTTTGTATAACTTATATCAATTAATGATTTAACGTGAAACCAAAGTTCCTGCTCATCTATGAACAAGTGGGTCCCTCAATTACTTGTTTTTTACTCTATTAAATTTGTGTTATCTCCAGAAAGTGGGAAAATGTAATATTATATAACAAAAATATAATTTCATTGGCCTAAATATTTTCGATCATTTACTTATTACCTCAAAATTTATCATCTAATAACTAATCTGGATTTTTATTTAATTACATTCATACATTGATTTTTTTACATAGAAAATATCTACTAAGAAATACATATACAGAATGAGGGAGAATAATACAATTGGATGAGACTTATTCAACATAAAAATTCAAATAGTTATACTACCTATTTAAGATCTCTTTGGTATTTATTTAATATAAGTGCATAGAATTTAACTTAGAAAACGTGGAATTATGAAAATATTTTTGAGTTTTTGTTGTTGAAAAAATATTAAGAACATTTAATAAACTATACCTAATTTTGTAATTCTTTTTTATTTTAGCTTTGTTAAACGTGTTTTATTTTTTAAATGTTACATTTGATTTTAATTCAAATGTCTGTTACATAGA